CTGGAGAGAACAATCATGGGAGAAGGAAGGGCTGCTTATACACAGGGAGACAGCTCAGGGCACAGAAGAGTATGGAGGGATGGACACTGGGAAGAGGTAACTATGGGGAGGAAGTGCATGGGGAGCTGTTGCATTGTAAATTTTGGTCAATGACATGAGACAAAGTATATTATGTGAACTGCTGTATGAAATGTGAATTTACTCTGTAAATCTTCACCCAAATTAAAATAAAATTTAAAAAAAAAATCTGTTGTGTAGTTTATTAATCTACATTCCAGAAAGATAGAAATAAAGGCTGTTGCTGTTGTTTGAGGTCATTTTCTTACTGTAAGTGCTGCATCCAGCAAAACTGCACAGGTTATGAAATGAAGCGACATGGTTTTCTTTTTTTATTTAAGAGAAATGGGGGCCAGGCAGACACCCTGCATATTCTGTGAGAGTGATGCCTCATGCCCTTGTACTACTTTATTTATATGCTTGTATATGATCACATCATTAGTCTTGGAATTCATACCATCAGCTTATTCTCTACAGAGTTAAAGTTTTACTCCTCTGCGTGCTCAAGGACAACAGGTGGTCATTAAAACAATCACAAAAGTCTCCTCAGGAATAAGGAGTGTAAAACGGTAAATGTTTACTAGGGCACAGGGACACAAGGTATGAAACATCCCGATAAGATAAAAACATGGACTATTGGAATAACATCTATTTTTAATACTTGATGTTTTGCCAATTAGGCATTTAACAGTCATCTCTTAAAGCAAACTTTTAACCACAAGAGAGGCCTTGCCATCTCTTAACTGTAATTAGAACATGTGTCTTGCAATCATGTTCTTTTGGGGTTCTTTTTCTTGGTCTCCAACATGTAAGCAAGATTTTTGTGAATGTGATGGCCAGATGTTTATCAAATCCACTCTTTATATCAACACCACTATTCCTACTGATTCTGTCCCCCACAGCCCTCCTGTTGTCATTTACTCAGCTTTGCCTTTGACCCTTGCCCCTGTGGAGTTTAGCCTATTCTGACACTACTTCCTCAGCTGAAGTGGCAGATGGCTTAGCTGACCGAGCACTGGCCTTAGAAGGTTTTCTGGTTAGCCAGAGAAGGGCAAATGAGCAGGTGTATCACTCAACCATGAGTACTTAAAAAGGTCTTCTCCAGTCCATTATCAACACAAAGAAAATACACTGATGTATCTTTTCTACATTTTTATTCAGGAGGGATTTCATAATTATTAAAGAGTATTTTTATTCCTTTTCTCAACAATTACCGTTCTATGATTCTATAACTAAAGCCAGACATTTCCAGTTAATCTTCAACAAAAAGAAAAGCACTTGCTTAATGACATATTTTATGGGTTGTAGATTGTCTCATTTCTGTACTTGTATATAGCTTTATACTTATATTAGAAAAGGTAATATAATGCTACGCAAGATAATAAGAAAAAAAATAATTAGGGGTTCTTAGAAAAATTCAGTTAAAAATTAATACATAAAGAGTGAGACTTTAAAAGTCACTGTTAATACCAATTAATTCCTCAAACATTAAAACTGAAGCCAAGTATTTAAACAATTTTTTTTAATTTCCAAATCTTTTCCTTATTGTGCTCTTTGGTATTCTGGAATAAAATGACATTCTATTTTAGGACTGATTTCAGGGGATTTGTAAATTCAGAACTAATTTAGTAATACTATTAATGTTATTAACATGCAATGCATTTGAAGTCAAGCATTTTTTTAAAATACCTTGTCTTTGAGGAATGATGTTTTGGGGTCAAATTGAAGAGTGGTAACTCTATATTTTTCTTAGGAGCTCTGGTGGCATAGTGCCTAAGGCATTTGACTGCTAACCAGAAGGCAGGAGGTTCAAACCCACCAGCCACTCCTCAGAAGGAAGATTGGGCAATCTACTTTCATAGTGATACCACCTCAGAAACCCAGGGAGGGGTTGCTATGAGTCAGATCCAACTTGATGGCAGTGGGTATATTTTTCTAATAGCATTTTTATGAGACCCTTTTAAATGGGAATTATTGGATTCTAGATTTTGAGAGGCAATATAGTAAAAGTAACACTGGATTAAAAATCAAGACATCTGGGTCAGCTACTATTTGTATGGCCTTGAACAAATGCCTTAGCCTCTCTGTACTAGTGTTTGTATCAAAGCTGTCCAATATAACTTTGTGCAACAATGTCAATGCCACTATTGAGTTCTTGAAATGTAGCTAGTGCAACTGAGCAACTGAATTTCTAATTTTAATTAATGAGATTAATTTAAAATTTTAAATTTATTTAGCAACATGTGGTTAGTAGCTACCATGTTAGACAGCCACTGGTTTGTCAGTTTGCCCTACTTTGGTGGCTTGCATGTTGCTGAGACTGGAGGTTACAATACTGGTATTTCAAATACCAGCAGGGTCACCCATGGTGGACAGGTTCCAGCACAGCTTCCAGACTAAGACAGACTTGGAAGAAGGAAGGGGGCATCCACTGCTCAAAGAATTGGCCAGTGAAAACCTTATGAATAACTGTGAAACATGGTCTGATATATTACTGGAAAAATGTATAGCAAGGATGGTGAAGATGATGCATAACTGAGCAGTGTTTCGTTCTGTTGTACATAGGATTGCTATAACTTGGAGAAGACTCAACGGCACCTAACAGCACCACCATGTTAGACAACATAGTTCTTTATAATGAGTTTGAATTAGAGATATGCTCTACACTTCCTTACAATATTAATATTTCAAAAGATGTAACTGGAAGCTCTGGTGGCGTAGTGCCTAAGGCATTTGACTGCTGACCAGAAGGTTGGCGGTTCAAACCCACCAGCAACTCCTTGGAAGGAAGACTGGGCAAACTGTAGAGTTACTGCCCTGGAAACCCAAGGAGTGGTTGCTGTGAGTCAGAATTGACTTGATGACAGTGATTTTTGTTTTTTTAATGCTGTAATTAAACAATATATTATAAAATTGTGTTTTCCTTTATTAGATCGAGTAAAATGAATTAAAACATATTGAACACCAAGACTTCATATTCAAAAAATATTTTCTCCATAGGATCTTTCCTATGGTTTTCAGTCTTCTGAATGAATAAATCACAACATCTTAAATAATTTTTCCTAAGAGGATATTCTGTCATCTCAAGGGAAAACTGAAAATTTTCATTTAAGAACTTTGTGTCTGTCTTTATTATCATACCTTATTTATACCCTCAACCTCTTTGCTCCTCTTTCATTCCTTGTATTTGCTTGTCAAAACCACAGCCCTGTGTAAATTCACCTCTTCACTCTGTACCTGCATTGACACAGCTGAATGTGGCTGAAGGAAAACATATAACCACACTGACTTCTCTCACTTAAATTCATGACCACATCCTCAAGTGGGCTGTACTCCAAGGCAACTATATGCCTTAGGCGCTACACCACAAGAGCTCATATACTTCTTTAGTCTAATCATTCTCTGTAGATGACTGTTTCACACCTCTTCTCTCAAGCCTTCAGCATGTCCTTCATGACCCTCACTTTCAGATGTTGGCTTGCTTCCTAATTCCCCTGGGAAATTTGAAGTGTTCCAATGTTGGCATCTGCCCTCACACACTCTGCCTTCCCATGTATTACTACTGATGATCTGAAGTAACCTTCTACTTGTAAACTAGATCCTACTTCTTTATACCTATGTCATCAATCCTTTTGTTCTGTTTCATATCATCTTTATTAGCATACAACAATCCTGTTAAGTGTCTCATCTTAAAACAGTTTAACTATAACACCACCATAACTAAACCTTCTTATACTACCTTACCCCACCATATTCTCTCTGTGTCCCCTTGCCTTATTATTTTTTTTTCCTTCATGGTCCTATCTCTATTAGATATAATAAGTTTATTGTTTCTCTCCACTAATAAAATGCTTTTTGCTTACCTTTTTATCTCCAACATCCATAACAATGAATGTATATTAGACACCCAATAAATATTAGTTGAAAAATTAATGAATGTTCATCATTTCATTTAATTCTCAACCTATGTGATTAAAAAAAAAAAGCCTATTGCATACTATGTGATAGGTACCATTATTACCCCCCAAGTAAATGGAGAAGGGAAGTGAAACTTTCGGAAGCTAAATAACTTCCCAGAGGTCATACAGCAAATTTTTTTTTTTTTAATCCATTGCCTCAAATCGATTCCGACTCATAGCGACCCCTATTGGGTTTCCGAGGCAGTAAATCTTTATGGAAGTAGATTGCCCAGTCTTGCTTCTACAGAGTGGCTAGTGGTTTTGAACCACCAACCTTCTGGTTAGTAGTCAGATGCCTTAGTCACTATGCTACCAGAACTCCTCATGCAGCAAATAAGTAAAAAAAAAAAATAATAATAACCACTCTGAGTATTGCCTTAAGAAGAAGAAATTGCTTTTGTTATTTATAATTAGCACTTGAAATTTAACAAACTTCCCACAGGAGAAAAGGAAGATTCCTGCTGTACCAAACGGAACAGCAGCTCATGGGGAAGCAGAGCCCCATGGAGGACATAGTGGACCTGAACTCCAGCGAACAGGAAGGTTAGTGAAAAACACTTTGAAGGGACTTTAAAGAACAAATGACTTATTGGTCTTATCTCTCAGCAATTGCTGTTTTGATATCTAATTTATCTTGTGTTTTCAATATCTACTCTTTGAGAGTGAAAATGTAAATTGATTCGATTGCTCTGGAGTTAATAATGATTATCACTATTGTTAAACCAGAGTTGTGGATACACCATTACATTTTATCTTACCACCATATTTTTACACAAATTACGCACATGTTATGCAGCTCTTGTAAACCATATAACCCCTCGTGTGTTAGTTTCCTGTGTGTGCTGTGCATTTTATATGCATTTGCACATTGTTTATGTGAGTGCATTATTTGTGAAAAATATAGTTGTCATTCATTTTACTGTGTATAAAATGCATTCACAAATTGTTGGAATGAATAAGGGAACTATCACTTGACCCTTCTGAAAAAGCCTGTTGAAAACTTGGAAGTGCAAGGTGGAAATAAACATAAATCCCAACAACTCAGTCTTGTAGCTCCTATCTCATTAAATACAAATAGGAATATATATAATGCTTTTTTTTTTATTAATATGCAGCTGTGATTTGGAAGAACTATATGATTTTTCTAATCACACACCTTCAAAGAGATGAAAGCTTCAATTTATTTCTTAAAGTGGTTCTTTATGGCTTTTTTGACAGCTTATCTCTCTACAAGCAATGTGTGAGCAGAAAATCAGAAACCCTTGTGTGGGTCTCTCTTCAGGGACTATGTGTGTACAGCCTCCATTATAATTGAAGGCAATTGCAAAGGCTTGCAGGATTGATGCTCCATCCCCCTCAAGGCTGTTTTCCATTCTGTTTGCATTTTTGTCCTCTAAGCTGACTTTCCAGTTCCTGACAACTCTGTGCATTTTAATTCTCCTGTGCTCTTTCCCTACCTATGTTTTGTCCCTGAGGAAATGTCCTTTAATGTCTTCCTCAGGCTCAATACCTAATTTGAGATGGTTCAAATAATTTTATTTTTCCTTTTCCTTCCACTGGAAGCTTTATTACTTAATCTGTTTGCTTTCATATTTTCAAATGCTGTCTGTTTTAAGTGGTTCTCTCTCTCTCTTTCTCAGGTGTTAACTGTGCCACATAGCTTTTTTATTTTTTCCAAAGTTTACTTTTCCTTTCTGCTTCCTAAATCCTCCCAGGTCACCAACATCCAGTCTCTTTGCTTCTCCAGAGTTCTTCCACAGATTCTGTTGCTGACATGACTTGAAGTATCCATTACTCATCTGCTCTCCTGGAGTTGCTGGTGTACATCTGGGCTGCTCTTGCACTGTTCTCTGTAATGAACTCCCACTTCTGGATTTAGATTCTTTCTGCTAAAAGCACATTTATTACACAGTAATATAACAGCTACTCAAACTAATGTATGTTCTAATAAGTAATTAATTAGGATGCAGTGGTCTAATATAAAGAATTATCAAACTCTAAATATTAATTACTAACAAATAGTTTGTAACCATCTCAAATCGTTTTGGGGATTAGGTGGGGTATAAAGAAAAAAATGAATAAATAATAACTCTTGAATTGTGACTTCAACAAATAAACAAGCCATTCACAAGCAATTCCTCAAATAAAAAATAAGCATATATATATATATATATATATATATATATATATTTGTTTTAAATGAAAATAGATTGAGGAACCTAAGGTAATCTTCATGTGTATGGGAATTTTACAAGTTCTCCACAAGCTTTTCTGCATTTTAAATTTTTAAATGTCCCTTTTTTTTTTCAATTAAGATTTCATTTATCTTAACTCTCTCCTACTCCACATCCCTCTACTGGAAGCGACCACTAGGAAAACAGTGATTGGTTGCTGGTGTCATAATAAATAAAATAAAAAAACTTACTGCCATCTAGTCAGTTCCTACTCATAACAACCTCCATTGGGTTTCCAAGGCTGTAGTTTTTATGGAAGCAGGCTGTCTCATCTTTTTTCCATGGAGTAGCTAGTGGGTTTGAACCATCAACCTAATGCCTTAACCACTGTACCACCTGAGCTCCTTTACATTATAGTAAGATAGTTATTGATATGTTAATGCTATGTCTAAGGACCTCTGGTGATGTAGTGGTTACAGCATTCAACCGCTAACCAAAAGGTCAGCCATTTAAACCTGTAAGTTGCTCCATGGTAGAAAGATGAGGCAGTCTTCCATAAAGATTTACAGCCTCAGAAACCCTATAAGTCAGTTCTACTCTGTCCTACAGGGTTGTTAGGAGTTACAGTTGACTCAATGGCAGTGGTTTATATTATGTCCAAGTCAAGTCAGGCAAGTAACAGCAAAATTTTCAATTATTCTGAATGTGTACATTTTCAAGGCCAGCCGAAATTTCTTTCTCAAGAAAGCAATCATTTTTATGTGATTCCAAATGATTAAAATAACAAAAGTTTAGTATTTTTACATAATCCAAGTATATTCATCATATTGGCAATAACCTCCATGAGTAAATTTAATCATAGTCTTATTCATGTTAATGTTGCATCTTTTCCAAAAAAAAAAAAAATCTTCTTTCAGATGTTACCATGTGGTTTTTAGATATATTTGGAATAAATGAATTTATATCAAGTAAGGCCATTATTAAGAAGCCCTGGTGGTGCAGTGGTTAAGCACTCAGCTGCTAACTGAAAGGTCAGCAGTTCAAACCTACTAGCTGCTCTGAGAGAGAAAGATGTGGCAGTCTGTTTCCATAAAGATGACAGCCTTGGAAACCCTATGCTGTTGTTGTTATTGTTATGTGCCGTCGAGTTGGACCTGACTCATAGTGACCCCTCCTTGGGGGGTTTCTGAGGCAGTATCACTATGGAAGTAGATTGCCCAACCTTCCTTCCGAGGAGTGGCTGCTGGGTTTGAACTGCCAGCCTTCTGGTTAGCAGTCAAATACCTTAGGCACTACGCTACCAGAGCTCCCACTGGAAATCCTATAGGGTAGTTCTATTCTGTCCTATAGGGTTGCTTATGAGTTTGAATACTGGATGGAGTTTTTGAAGGCCATTATTATCTTGCAAATGATAGACTTTGGGATATGTTTAAAGAATGTTGTTGTTGTTGTTATTTGCCATCGAGTTGGCCCCGACTCATAGCGACCCCTCCTTGGGTTTCCGAGGCAGTATCACTACGGAAGTAGGATTGCCCAACCTTCCTTCCGAGCAGTGGTTGGTGGGTTTGAACCGCCAGCCTTCTGGTTAGCAGTCAAGTACCTTAGGCACTATGCTACCAGACCTCCCATGTTTAAAGAATAGTGGATCAAAATTACATTTATCTTGGTTTGTTATTATAAGTTCCCCTAAAAATCAAAACAACTCTGTAACCTGTCTATACTAAGTATTGCTGTTACCCAACAAAGCCATACACATGTCTGCCTGGTACAGTATCAGGTGAGATTTTTTTTTTTTTTTTTTTTTTTTTTTTTTTGCCAGAGAGAGTAGGTAGCTGGAACCATGGTTGAACACTGCTTTTTCTCTGTAGGGTCATGTTGACTGTTGAAGTATACAAAAGTCAGTTTACCCACACCCCCTTTTTGCAGTGCTAAATGGAATGTAAACAATTGAAAAACACTGCCAATAGTTGAGGATGGTCGGCTTGAGTTTTGGAGGACTAGGTTGATAATAGAAATGTCACAGAGAGTTGAGTAATACTTGAATCTCACTATTTGAATTTTGATTGACGAACAGCTCTGAACCTTATTTGAGAGACCTGGATATTTTGGTTATTGATGCAATATTTTGTTAGGAATTGAAGTAACACAGTGGTACAAAGCTGTTCCTGTCGATCATGGTCATGCACTGTAACAAGCTAATGTAGGTCTCACCTCTTCTGATGGAAAACATACTCTGTGACCTGGCAACAAAACAAATGAGCATTTTGATTTATGTGCCTTTTATATTTGGGTTTCACGATTGCGTTTTTCCCCCAATCTTAGGATTTTTGGGGGCCTTATTTTAGATATCAAAAGAAAAGCTCCCTACTTCTGGAGTGACTTCAGAGATGCTCTCAGCCTGCAGTGCTTAGCGTCTTTTCTGTTTCTGTACTGCGCATGTATGTCTCCAGTCATCACGTTTGGAGGACTGTTGGGAGAAGCAACCGAAGGTCGTATAGTATGTATTATGCTTTTCTCTGAACTTTGAAACTTAATCCCTTTTGAGATTCATAGTTACATAAGTGAACATTTAATTTTGGATTCTGTTATGATGAGAGATTGGGTATATGGTCTGTCAGATAAACTTCATATGAATTTCCTGGATAGCTAATGAAACTGGCAATCTGAGAGCAGAATATCTCAGAACAGATTATTTTCAGTATTACACAGGATTCTCATCTCTCTACCAGCTATTGCCCTTATATCCAGGCCATGCTTCTGTCCAGACACTTATCCTGAACGTGTCCTAACTTTGAATAAGAAACAGAAAAGTGAGATAAGGAAGGTGGAGAGGACACATCCTCATTCTCTACTATTAATTTTCTGCCTATTTCTCGCTCCTTTTCTCATCCTCCTACTCCATGCCCTGCTAAAGGTTGCTAGGCTTTTCATGGTGAAGGAGAAAGTATATAGTCATGCATATTAAACCTTTTTTCCCTAGTTATAATGGCTGCCTGTACAGCTTAGATAATGGAACCATTTATATCTCTACACAGAGTGCAATCGAATCTCTCTTTGGAGCATCCATGACCGGGATAGCCTATTCTCTCTTTGGTGGACAGCCTCTTACCATATTAGGCAGTACAGGACCAGTTTTGGTGTTTGAAAAGATTTTGTTTAAGTTTTGCAAGTAAGTGTTATATACTCTTGGCCCTTAGCCCCTTTCTATTTCCCTACTGTGTTTACACTCTCCTGACATCGCATTTGGAGGTCTGCTTGGAGAGGAGGAACTGTCCAGTTTGATTCATTTTGACATTTTTGTCTCTCCATGGAAATAGAGGAAAAGTAAAAGATTTGTGCATATTGTGATATAATATTTATAAACATTGTATTCAGTTCTAAGCACTGAGAACCACCCCCCAGATGTTCCCTTTAGACAAAGTCTTGAGTTCAGTGGCTCATGAAATCTGAAGCTTTTTTACTTTTACTTCCTGAATTAGGTTTTTTTTTTTTTTTCTTAAATTGGTGGCATGCCATTAAATGATCTTTCTCTCCTCTGTTCTTTCCTTTTCCTCCTCATAGAGAATATGGGTTGTCCTACCTATCTTTAAGGGCTAGTATTGGACTTTGGACTGCAACCCTGTGTATCATACTTGTGGCCACTGATGCAAGCTCTCTTGTCTGCTATATCACCCGGTTTACTGAAGAAGCTTTTGCTTCCCTCATTTGCATCATTTTCATTTATGAGGCCCTAGAGAAGCTGTTTGAACTCAGTGAAGCGTATCCCATCAACATGCATAATGATTTGGATCTGCTGACACAATACTCGTAAGTACCATTTCCCCTCTTGGCTGTCAGACTTTTCTTTTTATAAATATTGCTATTGTTATAAGAAATATGAGGAACTTACTCAGCAGATAGACTGCTTTAAATTGATTCATGACTTAAATCACGGACTCTTTAAAGTTGAATTTTAAAAGTCATCTAATCAGCCACTCATGTGATACTTGAGTTCTTACTATAGCATTTCTGCCAGGACTATCTCTTTGAAGTCCTATTTGCTAAAAACAAACAAACAAACCGACTGCCATTAAGTCTATCCCAACTCATAATGACTCTATAATGCAGTTCTACTCTGCTCTATAGGGTTTCCAAGGCTGTAAATCTTTATGGAAGAAGACTGCCTCATCTTTCTCCCATGGAATGGCTAGTAGGTTTGAACCGCTGACCATTTGGTTTGGAGCTGAATGCTTTAACCACTCCTTCACCAGAGCTCCTTTCCATCTGCTAAGTACTCCCTAAAGTAAGTAGATTTTGAAACAAGGTCATTTCACTGTACAGGAATTTAATTTTGACAGTTTTATCATTTTTGCTTTTCCTTTAGGGCTTTTCCTTTTTATATCACTAATCCAAGGAAACTTCATGGTGAAAATTAAAGTTTTCAGATTTGGAGCAATGACGTAAAAAAAACTCATTGAGTCTAAATTATATTAATTTGATGTTTGAAAATATGACTTAAAAGTGAATAAAAATAATTGAATTGCAATTTAATTTTCCTTTTTGAAGTTATGACCTTTATGCTGAAGGTTACTGAGATATTAAGGTGATACTAAAGTTTAAGATTAAAGATGGGATTAGACTATTTATTCTGTCTAGCTTTTGTATGCCAGCAATTTGGAATTTCTCTAAGGCTGTGTCTGCAGAGTATCTGTGGCCATTAAATAACTCTTTTCTTTTATTTAAATTTAGGACTTTTTGTTGCATTTATGAAGAGATTTTTATGCAAATACTTGAAGTAATACATTATTTAAGAATCAGTTATAACCTGTTTGTCAGCCACCAATGCTCTTTCTTTCAACTGCTGAGATATGGCCTTACACTCTTTGGAGATTTAATATCCTAATTTACTATTAGAAGGTGTTAAAGTTGTTGAAATTAAACCAAAATAATGAGATGTTATAATTTTGTCACAAATGATTACATGACACAAGGTAGAAAATAACATGCTTTTTAGTACTTTGAACTTTTTCTTGGTCTTTAGAGAGAGTTTTAGACAGAGCCTTCCTATTTTTAGACAAGAAAAATCAAAGTGGAAATACAAAATAACTTTTCCAATAAAAGCAAATAGTGAAGGTGTTGTGAACAGGATTAAGAAGGGCATGAGTGTAGATGTCGGGGTTACTCAGAAAGCATGCAGGTGGGAAAAGCAGTTTCATCAGAATGAGGTATCACATCAACACATTCCTTTTTCATTTTTCTTTGCTTGAAAACAGCAATATCATGATGTACTTGCTGGAATATATAACTATCATTGCTGGTTGGATTTTCAAACCTACTACAAGCCAAGCCCTATACTAGGGTGCTAGGTACAGACAGATAGTGCTATGGTAGCCCATCAGAAAAACACCTAACCCAGGTTTGGGATTCAGAGAAGATTTCCTGGACAGAAACAGAACATCAGTAGCAATTAAGAAGATTCTGAGGAATAAAGAAGGACAAGTATTTCAGACAGAGGAAATAGCAAAGTCTTGAATGCAAGAAACTCTAATGCTTTGAAACGTTTGTCCAAAGTCATATAGATAGTAGTGAAACAAGAAATGAAGCCTAGGTTTTATGCCTTTGATGTAAATTTAATTACATGGAAAAACACAAATAAGTGATCCAAAAGAAGTGATATAGAACAAAGAAAATAGGTAAATGCAGAATTTTTCTTCTAGAAATGGCAGAAAGGCACCTATTGCCCACCCTTCCAACTGATTCCTGACCAGCAGTAGCAACTTCTTAAGTATCTCAGACAGAATCCCAGCTTAAACACCCTTGGTCTAGATAGGGCAAAAGATCAAAGAAACAATAACTGTACTCTGGATAATGTTCACAGTTTGAAAGTAGAAGAATCAAAAACGCAACCAACAGATAAAAAGTGAGAAAAAGGCATCAGAAATAGAAGGCAATGGACAAAAATATATCAAGAAGACTTTAGAGAGGAAATTGGTATACAGATAAAACAGAATAAGGGAAAGGATTTAAAAAAGAGATAATTGTTAACATCAAGAAATGGTTTGTGTGGCGGGAGGGGAAGCTGGACTAGAAGCCAGTGTGAAAGAAAAACATTATGAAGGGCAGGGGTGGTTAGGAAATGGAGAAAGTATGTCAAAGATAAAGCAGAATGGCTGCTGAAGACAGCAATGGAATCAAAGAAGGGTAATTTGTGATAGAAAGGAGCTATGCATGTTTGAAAATGAGGACATAGAGCCACAGGAAAGAGAGAGATTGAAGATGATGGAGAGAGAGTGAATAAACATAGGATTCCAATCTCCCAGGAGTCAGAAAATGATGAGATCAAGACAAATAGTGGGGTTAATTAAAGGGACATCTCTTCTCAGTCAAATGTTCAGAGGATCATTTGAGAGCAAAAATACCTTTATGTGCCCATTATTCCAGCTTGTCATTGATAAGCAAGAGGAGAGCAGCATGGACCCTGACTTTCTTAATGTTTAGATCTCTGAAAAATTGATGCCCACAAGTGTAATTGCTTTGATTACAAGTGTATCTAATGCCTAATTATTTGAAGGCTAAGCATAAATGTGTGTTATTCACTGTTTTCCATTGCCCAAGTGTCTGACTAAACCAAAATTAGGGGTGTAGAAGGGATGGGCAGACTGTCTCATCATGATGAGCAGGCAGGTTTTAGAGTAACGTAGCATCAGAAATGGATGCAATGGAAACAGAGCAAGAGTCTCCCTGGGAAATATAATCTGATCAGAGACCCTGACGACATTGATTTTTCTCTTCAATTTTTATACCATGATTCCCAGGCTTTGGGTATGATAAACATTTCATATGTGAGTGTCATCAGATACTTATTACTTGCTCTTTGGAGAAACAAAACCAAACCTTTTGTTCCTATTCATAAAATTTTTATCAATGTACTTTTAGCTATGTGCATTAAAGAAAATAAGGAGCAGTTATTTCCTAACAATAAAAGCTATTTTAATGTACTGTATAATCTCACACTTAAACAGTTACAGTCATTCCTTGGTTTCCATGGATAGTTGGTTCCAGGACCCTCCTTGAATACCAAAATCAGCAGATGCTCAAGTCCCTTATATAAAATGGAGTTGCATTTGCATATATCTTAACAAATATTTTCCCATGTACTTTAAATTATCTCTAGATTATTTGTAATAGCTAATACAATGTAGGGAGCTCTGGTAGCGTAGTGCCTAAGGCACTTGACTGCTAACCAGAAGGCTAGCGGTTCAAATCCACCAGCCACTCCTCAGAAGGA